GACGCTACTAGGGGCTCCTGGCCTTACTACTAGGAACAAGAAGCTACCAGGGACTCCTGGCATCGCTACTAGGAGCAAGGACGCTAACAGGGGGTCCTGGCCTTACTACTAGGAACAAGAAGCTACTCCTATACTTGAAGTAAGAACCCCAAGTAGCTCTCGCTATCTGGGGAACAAAGCAAGGAAACTATTTCATCTGCTTGCCACACACAGTTTCCGAACGCTGCAAGCTGGTGAGTGCAGCGACCAGTGCTGAATCGCCTCAAGCCTTGTAGCTTCAACCGCGAGGGAAACTTCCCCACCTCGGTCAAAGTGCCGTGGGAAGGGCAGTGAGCACAGGATTGCAAAATCTCCGATCGGAAACCAAGCAGCACTTGGCTCAAGCATGCAGTCTCAGAACGTGCAAGCATAGCAGAAGCATGGCCGGCTTCCTAGCAGGATGACACCTTCACATGTAGACACTTCGGAACACTGGGCCAAGTGTGGTGACTGTGTCTCTGTGAAAGACAATGGCGCTGACCACAGCTCTATCCTTCTCTGGCGTGACCTGGCATGAAGGATCTAATCTAAAGCTCATGAAGCCAAAGGCGTGATCTCTCAGTTGAATCAAGCGCCGGCTCTGCAAACATCCAGGCATACACGTGGGAGTCACCAATACCAGCTGAGTTCGAATGAGAGGCTCCAGGATATCCGAAGCCTCAGGCAGACAGCATCAGTCGCCCAACTCAAATGCTCGAATAGAATCCATTATGAGCATGAAAACATTTGAGTAATATTTGTCTCGTTTCCAAAGGATCTATATAAATCCCAGATCCTTGCAGATCCTTCCCCAGCCTGGAAGACGGAAATATTCTCCATGCAGTACAACCTACCATGCTCAGTGCTGGGAGTAGTCTGGGCCAAAGGCTCTGTCCATCCAACCCAAACATTGACGATTCTGGAGGATATTGGACTCCAAGAGGATATTTCCTTTGCCATACAAAGAAAATATGGATTCATCACAGTCGGTCGGTGCTTGAAACTACCTCAACCATCTATCTTCAAGCTTCTTCACCGGCCAGTCTAATTGGGTGTGACCTGGCAAAGCTTTCCTCGCAAGGCTACCAGCTCCTTCATCTCTTTCAGCTCCTGTCAGTGGACAAAAAGGAGCGCTCTGAACTGCTCAAACCAACGGTTGAATACCTGAGCGCAATCGGATTAGCATGTTCGGAATCCGCCAGTTGAGCTCTCTGATTCCTCTCTCGAGAGCTTGTTGAGGTCCAGCTCCAAGCCTGGCAAGCTGACGGATGCTCGGCCATTCCTTTTGCGTCAGAAGAATCTCGACCCAAGCTAAACTCAGGCTAAACTCATCTTTGCAGCGGGACAGGGCCACATAACAACATGTAAGCCCGGGTGGTCATGAAACATGACATGTGCTGAGACTTACACCAAAGGTGCCCCAAAGGGCAACAATGAAGCGGGTCCTCATGCACGGGATACATTGAGAATCTGCACACATGACTGACATAGCCACACTGAGGTTGAGACTTCAACATATGCCTTGGCTGAACAAACGGCTTTGCATGAGAACTGGCTGTAGCATTTCCCAAGAGAAACGGGACAACTTGACATCTTGTTGTTCTACGGTCTTGCTTCAACACGCCTTGGCAACCATTTTACTCAGGTCCAAATTCATCTCAGTGGCGTCCTGTGAGTTTGATGGCTGGGACCTACAGGCCACATGATCACAGCAGGTCTGTCAAAACATATCAGCATGCGATAAAGCCAGTGTGAATTGCTGCTGCTTTTTTCATATATATATATACAGTATATGCCATCATATGTATATATATATACATATCAAAAGCTAAGACAAACACACGCCGCGATGTGAGCGCCCATACACCGCACTGGGGCCTTGACAGTACAGGTTACAGATTTGTTTTGAAGTTCTCTTTTGCACCAACTATGTTGTATGTTCTGTTCTATCAATTCGTTGGGCCTGCAATGTAGCATTGCTTTGATCTATCTTGCTTTGCCCCTCTATCTTCTCCTATTTATCCCTTCTTGATTCTCGAGTCTACCTTTCTTCTCTGCCTTCATTGCAGCGCAACAGCGCAAATTGACAAATACACGTCTGAGAACCAGACCCACATGGAAGTGCCCATCTGGATGCGTGTTCGTGAGAAGGCGTCAGAATTGTCAGAGCACCAGGCCTGTCAAGTATGAGCCACATGAGCCAGACGAACCACACATTCTATGAGAGGCAAAAGTCTCTGCGAAGCACATCGACACGGTTGAATATCCAGCTCAAACACTCTGCGTTGATTCTCCAAATGCAATCTTAATGTTAGCACCGTCCGTTCGCTTCTGCGAAATGCTGCAGTTGCAAACACGGCAAAACATGTTGGCTTTGCTGCCTGCAAACCTTGGCTCTGTTCATATCTGTACTGTACACATCAGGGTGGAGCAAGTTGGTTATCTCATTGACTTGCTTGGGATCAATGACCTGATGTGTTTTCATAGGTAGGCTGTTGACGTTCGATATGTTGGTAATGTGTGACAATCTGACAGACGCGTGCCCACAGCTGCACGAAAAGGGAATGGGGTCGGTGCCCTGGTGTGCCAGTCTGATAAGGACATCAGGGGCTTCCCGGATCTCCCCGGATTGGAGCCTCAGTAGCTACTAGTAGCAAGGACGCTACTAGGGGCTCCTGGCCTTACTACTAGGAGCAAGAAGCTACTAGGAACAAAGGGCATCGCTACTAGGAGCAAGGACGCTATTAGGTGGAGGCCATCGCAAGTAGGTTGGAGGCCATCGCTACTAGTGGCAAGAAGTTAGTAGTAATCTTCCCTCTTTCCCACTCACCTAATCAGCAAAGTAATGCTTGATAAACATCAATGGAATGTCCTGCTTGACCACGCTTGTGGCACATGTTCGCTGCGTCCTTGCCTTTTCCTCTGTCTCTTCCTTTTTCTTTTCCTTGTCCTTGTGCGCGCCTGTTCCATCCTTTGTGCTATGCATGCACGTCTATTGTTTGCGGTGGTGCTTTCCTAGTCCTGTCCTGTCCAACTGCAAAACCCAAAGTTGTGGCATCCAGTGGCATCCCTTGCTCTCCCCTTTTCCTCCTGTATCTTCTTTCCTTCTCCTTCGTTCTTTCCTTTTCCTTTGCTCGTTCAAAAATCCATATGCCTGTGCCTCCAGCTAAGATTTTGTTCCGAGGATTGCTGCTCTTGCATCTTGCTCAATGCTGCTATTCCTCTGTAGTATTGCATTATTCCGCTTTTCACCTCGTTGTACGTCTTCGTTCTTTGTTGGCTCGGACCCCATCTCCCGTCGCAAGAGCCGGTGGGATTTTACAAAAAGCACTGGTGCACGATTGACGCATGGTTTCGCGGATGTCCACGTTGCCTGCTTGCCACACGGAATGTCCCTGGGGTCAAAACACCGTGTCAATAGCATGCTTGTGGCTGGGCCCCTTTGAACTCTGGCGAGTGGGGTGGTATTGACCTGTTCCACGAGTTGCGCGGATTGCTGCACTGAGAAAAGAAGCGTTGCGTTGCAATCAAAATTACACCACCGTAGACTCCAAACAGGTGGGACAACAACGAAGCATTCCCAAGTCCACGTTTTGAGACATCAACAAGAAGGGAGACAAGAAGAGAAACGAAAGGAAACAGAAGGGAGACAAGACGGACACAATGACAAACAAGAATGGAGACAAGAAGGGAGACAAAAGGAAACAGAAGAGAGACAAGCCGGACACAATGACCAACAAGAAGGGAGACAAGAAGGGAAACAAAAGGAAACAGAAGGGAGAGAGGACGGACACAATGACGAAGGAAGACAAAAGGAAGCAGAAGGGAAACAAAACGAACACAATGACCAACACGAAGGGAGACAAGAAGGGAGACAAAAAAAAAGGGAGACAACACGGACACAATGACGAACTAGAAGGGACCACACAAACACAAAGGGAGACAAGAAGAAAGACAAGGCGGACACACTGACCAAAAAGAAGGGAGACAACAAGGGAGACAAGAAGGGAACAGAAGGGAGACAAGATGGACACACTGACCAACAAGAAAGGAGACAAGACCGGACACAAAGGGAGACAGAAAGGAGACAAGGCGGACACAGTGACTGACAAGAAGGGAGACAAGACGCAAAACAAGACGGACACAGTGACCAACAAGAAGGGAGACATCTTACCCAGAACCGAGCACCTATGTTCCCAAGGGAAACAAAAGGAGACGGAAGGGAGACAAGGCGGACACAGTGACCAACAAGAAGGGAAACAAGGGAGACAAGCCGGAGGCGGACACTCCGAGACAGCCTTGAGCCCTAACAGTAACCTGTTTGGGGAGGTGCAGAAAGCACCTGGGAGACAAATGAATAGAAATGCTGGAAAGGCCGGATGCCAGCAGTGCAGGCACCGCACCTGGAAAACAAAAGTAAACACATCACATGGGAGACAAATGAATAGAAATTCTGCATGGCCAGCGGAAAAGGGCGGATACCAGCAGCGCAGGCACCGAACCTGGGAGACAGAAGTGGGAGTTGATCTAAATTCCTTTATCCGGGATCCGTCACTTTCGCCAAAAAGATGTATTTTAGCCAAATGTTCGCCTTCCTGCGTTTTATCTTTCGCCGAAGTACGTTGTATTTATGTGTGCCATGTATGTTGTGTTTTGTTCACGTCAATGGCTTCTTCTTTACTGGCAAACACAAAATAGAAACTTCACTGTTTGTCAGCATGTGTCTTCTACTTAACTGTTGACACCCTGTACGTCTCTTTTGTTTCTCCTGGGTGTCAGCAAGAATCAAAATTGCAAGAATCACTGTAGCAGCCGGTCACTCAAACTTACTCATAATGGGCTGGGGGTCAGATGTGGCAGGGTGAACTTTCGCCAATCTTGAGCTGAACTTTCGCCAAACTTTCGCCTTTTGCGGGGAGGAGTTTTGTGGCAAAGCCACCCCCCCAAAGCAGGAGCAGGAGGAGTAGTAGTAGTAGTGGTAGTGGTAGTGGTAGTGGTAGTGGTAGTGGTAGTCGTAGTCGTAGTAGTAGTAGTAGTAGTAGTAGTAGTAGTGGCAGTGGCAGTGGCAGTGGCAGTGGCAGTGGCAGTGGTAGTGGTAGTGGTGGTAGTAGTAGTAGTAGTAGTCGTAGTGGTAGTCGTAGTAGTAGTAGTAGTAGTAGTAGTGGTAGTGGTAGTAGTGGTAGTAGTGGTGGTAGTAGTAGTAGTAGCAGCCGCAGCAGCCGCAGGTTATCTAACTTCCACAGCTCATCTAACTTCTGAGTCACTGCCACCAGCTGTTCAGGAAGCAAATGAACATTCATACAAAAGTACATATTTAATCTGTCGCCAGATCTTTCGCCAAAAAAAATTACTTTCGCCAACTCGAGAAAGAACTTTCGCAAAATGAGATATTGATATGTTCCGGGTCACCGACGCTGCTACAAAAAATGCCAAGAACACAACTAACTACCCTGTTGACTTGCGTTGCTCATGTTCAGGTTCTCTGTTCACATTCAGACTTTGAGAGGCGCCGCACATTGCTTTTGCCCGGCTACATGTAGAGTTCGATGAAACCCAGCAGCAGCAATCCATTTGTTCTGGATGGATGCAGTCAACAGCTTGCTTCCCTGCGCTGGTTCCTTGTTTGCTGCGATGATGATGCGAGGGCAGTGGCAAGTCAGTGTCATCTTGATGTTCAATTGACTTGTCAGTGTCATAGGTCATAGTCCTATCAATATCATCAAGTCATATGATATATGTTAAGTTTAGAATTTGTATGTGCTTCCTTCCTTCATATTGATTGATCTTTTTGCATCCAGGAGTTGGAGGGTCAAGTTGAAACAATCATAATTCCATGAATCCCTCAAGAAAGAATTGAGAACCCCTAACAGTAAACTGTTTGGGGAATAAATATCAAAAAATGAGCGGGCACACGTATGTTCCCAAGGGAAACAAAAGGAGACGGAAGGGAGACAAGGCGGACACAATGACCAACAAAGGGAGACAAGACCGGACACAAAAGGGAGACAGAAAGGAGACAAGGCGGACACAGTGACTGACAAGAAGGGAGACAAGACGCAAAACAATACGGACACAGTGACCAACAAGAAGGGAGACATCTTACCCAGAACCGAGCACCTATGTTCCCAAGGGAAACAAAAGGAGACGGAAGGGAGACAAGGCGGACACAGTGACCAACAAGAAGGGAAACAAGGGAGACAAGCCGGACGGAAGGCGGACATGTTGTCCCGCAGCAAGGCGGACATTCTGAGAAAGGCTTGAGCACCCCTAACAGTAACCTGTTTGGGGAGGTACAGAAAGCACCTGGGAGACAAATAAATAGAAATGCTGGAAAGCGGAAAAGGCCGGATGCCAGCAGTGCAGGCACCGCACCTGGAAAACAAAAGTAAACAAAGCACATGGGAGACAAATGAATAGAAATTATGCATGGCCAGCGGAAAAGGGCGGATACCAGCAGTGCAGGCACCGAACCTGGGAGACAGAAGTACAGAAATCATTTTTGAGACAAATGAATAGAAATGCTACATGGCCAGCGGAAAAGGGCGGACACCACCAGTGACAGACCTGGGAGACAAATGAATAGAAATGTTGCATCGCCAGCGGAAAAGGGCGGACACCAGCAGTGACAGACATGGGAGACAAATGAATAGAAATGTTGCATCGCCAGCGGAAAAGGGCGGACACCACCATTGACAGACCTGGGAGACAAATGAACAGAAATGCTATGGCCAGCGGAAAAGGGCGGACACCAGCAGCGACAGACCTGGGAGACAAATGCATAGAAACGCTACATGGCCAACGGAAAAGGGCGGACACAAGCAGTGACAAACCTGGAAGACAAATGAAAACAGCGGAAAGGGCGGACACCAGCAGTGACAGACCTGGGAGACAAATGAGTAGAAATGCTACATGGCCAACAGAAAAGGGCGGACACCACCAGTGACAGACCTGGGAGACGAATGATTTCAAATGCTACATGGCCACCGGAAAACGGCGGACACCACCAGTGACAGACCTGGGAGACAAATGAATTCAACCAGCAGTGACACAAAGGGCGGACACATCTTAAGAAAGAATTCAGAACCCCTAACAGTAAACTGTTCTGTTTGGGGAAAAATGAGTTTCAAGTTTCAAGAGTTCGTTTAAACTTTTAGGGTGCAAATTTGATGGTGAGCGTGGCAGTATTTGTATAAAACGCTATCATGCGTTGGTAGGACTGTCTACGGAGGATTGGGGGGGGTGGAGGATGGGGGCCAGGATGGTTACATTCGGTTTCGGGTTTGATGTTATGGACCCGGGGGGTTGTTCAAGACGGTGGTTTTACAGTTCAACCACTTGTTATGGTATCAAGTTGTTCTACGGTTGTTCAAGACGGTTCCGCGGTTCTACTGTATTAATTTGTTTTGAATTTACATTCTTTTCTGCCTACCGTCTTTTCTTCTTGTTCGAACTTCGTTCAATTTGCTCTCGTTGATGCCGATTGGATCTATGATCCTGTGTGCGTGCTGAAAGAAAGATATTGCATTCCAGGGACCTCGAGGTCACCAAAAAACCTACGAAACCTCGTTATTTGTGGGGAACTTTCACATCACCTTGCTTTTGACCCACGAATCATAGGGTTTTGGACACATGTACAAAACACTGCGTTCACTGTGGTAAAATATGAAACTCCTGCAAACCCCTGCAAGTATCACAAGGAATGAAGACGACGGCATCGGGGAGTCGAGCGTCGTTGTTCCGAAAATTTGGGACCGGGAGTGTTATTGCGTTGTCGCGCTCGAGTCTGCCAACCTCAAACTCCCAGGGCGCAAACGGTTTTTCAAAGTTGTTTGTGTCAAACTTCGGCTTGAGAAGCACTCTGAGGTGTCCAGCACTTCTTACCGCAATGGGTATTGCATACCTAATGACCTAATGCACGATCTCGAGGCCTGTTTCTTGATGGAATTTCTGCAGCATTCTGCAGTCTGCAGCTGTTGCTTCTCCTCCTGCTGTGATGCTCACAGTATGTATTTGAGGTCGTGCTAAGTGCTAGCAAAGTGCTTCCTTCTTCTCTTGTAGATGCTATGCCTCATTGCTGTTCTGCTTGTGCCACTGGTGATGCCGTGTCCCCCAGTGTTCGTCATCAAGGCTTATTTACCTCTTTTTGGTCATGCGTGTTTGTTTTTCTTGGCCTCAGCTTGCTCATTGTACACTCACACATGCTGTCTGTCTGTCTCTCTCTCTCTCTCTGTGTAAAAGTGGCAACCAAAGTTCAGAGCAGTAAAGTGAAACAAGAAGTGTTGAGCTTCCCTAAGCATGTAGGAACTGAAACAACAATGCCCGTGAGCTCTCGTCTGCGTCCAATCCTAGTAGCTTCCTTGCTACTGCCATTAACCTACTAGCCAGCTACATGCTGGTTAGCTCTCCTCTTACCGGTCTATCCTCCAAAAAAGGATACGGATTCTCAAAGGCTGGAAAATCTCAAAAACTGCAGAATTCAGCCGCATTCTGCCTGGGGACACCAGGCCAGTAGGGCTGCATCAAAACGACCACCTCCAGACCTGACGAGGCTTCAAGAGCCGTTTCGCAGGCTTTGAGACCGGTTACAGTAGAAGAGATATGTTTGCCTCGTGTGGTTCCAAACTAGAAGAGATCTTTGTCGATCATCCAACTTCTCTTGACATCTCTTGCCTCTTGGCTGCTAATAGACAAATGCACACGCTGCTGCTTGATTCGATTCCAAAGCTAAAGCTTGAAGCACACCTGCAACGCTGTGTCCCACACAGTTGTTTTGGGCCCCAACGCGCAACTCTCGAAGAGTACATGGGGAAAGCTTGAGGTCAGAACCTGCCAAAGGCATACCATGCGTCAAGGTGTAATTGCACAGCTTTTTGCAGGTGTATAAAGGCTTGTTGCTGGTCCTGCATTCATCACCTGTATACATGGATCAGTTCATGGTCTGGATCCTCATAATTTGCTCTTGACACACAAGAAAGTGTCAAGAGCAGTGGCGAGCAGCGGCAGCGGAGAGCAGTGGAGAGCAAAGGAGCAAAATGCAATCAAGGCGGTCAAACAGATTGCACGCCTCGAAAATCCGGTAGAGTCCTAAAACGTATCGATGATAGACCTGGCAGGAAGACGACAATGCCGGTGTGGAAGCTTGCTCGATGCAGTCGCCTCGCCCTGTTGCTGCGGCCTAAGCACTCATGCAAGTGCATAGGGAGTAGCGCATCCATGTATAGTCTCAATGATTAATGACTCACAAGAGCCCCATGTCCCTGCTGTGCAGCCAAGAATGACTGCCAAAATACTGGGCATTCCGACGGCAAAGCTGCAGAAAATGCATCTGTCAAAGCGCGGTTCATGTCCCACCTGATGCGGGCAACGGGCTGCACATGACTGCAAGTGCCCCCTCCCGATGGCTTGGTGCAACGACATCACCACATTGCATGACTTCACCATTTTACAAAAAGGCATTGATTTTTGCAGAGAGAGAGAGAGAGAGACTCCCCCTTGCCAGAATGCACTCGACTGCTTCGTTCAATCCTTCGAGCAAGTCGCTTAATGTATTCGATGTTGGCAGAGCTTAGGATCTCAGTAGGCTTCAAACCAGCTTGGCTTTGCAAACCAAAACGCAGATTTGATAGTTGCAGAATGTCCGTCTGCACAGCTTGTTTTTTGCTCCGTGGCTGTGGGCCAGTCTAAGATGCTCACTTGACTAACACAATCAATGATGTAGTCCTAACACAATTTTCAGAAAGGCCAAGCACCTTCAACGTGGACAAGTTTGGTGAGCAAACGAAACCAGCCCATCACCCTTCCTGTCCTGCACTTCTCGACGTGTTAGATCTAGAACCAGCTGATTCCTGCATTACCAGTGGTCATGCCAACATTAAAAGAATCAAACATGTTCCAAGCAAGAATGATTGCCTGCCCTCGGATCGCAGTCTTCCAGGATGATGAAGGACCTGTCATGCAAGTCCAGGAAAATGGCATCCCTTGGTTCATCCAGTTCATCCCTTTGGTTCATCAATAATCCTTCTTAGCTCTTCAGACTCCCTTGCCGAGTCCAAATGTTGGAGTGGTTCCACATCGCTCCACCACTTGACCAGCTTGGCTGCCGGCCCATTCGGGATGCGACCTGTACAGTTGGCTGTCCTCACGGTCTGTCCACAATGAAAGGATTGTGCTTTAGAACTGTGCAAAGCACAATGAAGACATCACCACAGCGACATTGCGTGCAGAAAACCTGAAAACAATGGCGCTTAAGCCTTCAACGACTTGCTTCATCGAGGCCTCAACCTCTCAGCGCACTGAAACGCTTCAGTCCTGGTTTACCATCTCAGGCTCAACCCAAATTCCAAGCTTCAGTCCCATGGCATTGACATCCTCGCTGGCTCAAACAGTCTCCCAGGCAAACAGAACCTGGTGTATGCCTTTTTCTGTGCTTGTATATTGCCTTACCCTTTTTTTGTCTTTGCCCGCCCTCCGGGAGTGGTACCCGTGTGAGGGTCACCTCGCTACGGGCTCGGCGCGGGCTCGGCGCGGGCTCGCGGGCTCGATGCGGGCTTGCGGGCTCGGTGCTGGCTCGTGCAGGGATTACTTGCATGCGTGCTCGGTGTGGAGTGTCTAATACCGCTCAATATCAATTGGCGAGTTGCCACCACCACCTATCCACACAAACGTCTTTGACTCTTCGAGTTGCCCTCGCAAGCAAGCTGCTCACCGTATTCCACCTGTCCACATTCATTGGAGAAGTCCTTCCTCCGCCCCGCAAAAAAAGAAGGCTTATGACTGACTACGTTGGTCTTCTTAGGTGCGGAAATATAAACAATAACACCGGCATAGGCCGCAGATAGCCGGTGTATAGGTTCAAAGGACACGCCGCGGCACAGCAAGCAACATCAGACCAGTCCACCAATATGTGCAACATCTATCAGCTGAATGCACCCGCTTTGCCCAACACAGACGTTAAACTGCAAGATCGGCAAGGACCAGCCAAAGCTGCCCAAACGACATGATGACCATTGCTGCACAACACGGTGTCATGCACAATATGACAGCATGTCCTCCCTGGCATGACACGGTGTCATTTCTGGCATGACACGATGTCATCACTGGCAATAACCTGATGCAATCCCTGGCAAGACATGATGTAATTCTGGGCATGACCCAATGTCTTTCTTGGCATGACAGGATGTCATCCTGGCATGACGCAAAACGAAACGCCGATCCAGAGCCAGCACCTGCACCTGCACCAATCTCAGCACCGCAGCAGCACCCGCAAAACCTAAGACGCCCATCCAGAGCCACACCATTGAGAAATTAGATGGAATTAGAACCCCTATAACCTGCAGCTGTCTGGGGGATAAGGGTGTCTTTTTTGCAGGAATCGCGCGGGCCCGCGGGCCCGAAACCTGCGCGGGCCGACCCTCACACTAGGACCATCACGAATTAGAAAAGCTTTTTTTGCTTAGAGACACTTGAAGAATTGGCCAAACTGATGCCTACTCTTGTCTGTGTTGATCAAAAAATTCAACTCGAGTGCAGTACGCTGCCTGTGCTAAGCCCTTCAAGCCTGGCAAGAGTGCAACACGTTCAAAATCGTTTTACGGCCTTCAGCATTTGCACGGACACCAAAACCCTGAACCCCGAAAGCCATCTTGTTGTCCTGCCTCGTGGAAGCTTCCGAGGGTCTTCTACCCAATCACCTAACAGGGCATGATAAGCTGAGTCGCCTCTAGACTCACTCTGAAAGTTAAAGCACCATAACTGAGCTCCTGTCCCAAAGATGTTGTATCCTTGGGCACGTACATTACAAGCGGCTAACAACGACCAACACACCAAAACTCCCATGCAGCTGCCAGCATATAAACATACGTACAAACGTCAAAGAAACCTGTCAGCATGGAAGGCTAAACTCGGGCTGAACCGAAAAATATCAATCTGGGCCAATGACATCATCGCGCTTGCCAAACCAGCCATCGTCCAGAACTAGTAGTTCAACCCCGGCCTCAATTGCAGGTTTGGCCTCAGAGGCGCGGTGCAACAAACGAACGAATTCTTCATGCGAATGATTGCGAGTGACGCCTATTTTGTTCAAATAGAGATGAAGATGAACAAAGGAAGGTAGCGACCCCTTAAAGTGCCCCTTACCTTCTTCTCTCCATCTCCACATTCCTTAAGCTGATCCCAAAAATCGAGAGACTGGCGAATTCCAGGATTTTGTCGTGGTAAACCTGGCAAGACTCCGCATATTCACAGACTTCCGGAACAGTTGTTTTAAGACGCTCGGGAACCTTTCAGCCGGATCTTTCAGCCCGGGTTCACTTCGAGCTATGGCTATGACCTTTACCTGCATCAGGATCCTATTCTCTTGATTTTATGTCCGGCTGGTTCTGGTCCAATTCGAGGACTTGACATGTTTTCCTCACAACTCTGCATATCCCTCCATGAGGCTGTGCCATACGCGCGCCTCGAAGTAGAGCGCCTCCCACGTGTTGATGAGCACTGGGCAAACGAGATCGTGCCAGCGCGGAGCGATCAGCCTGGAGCGCACATGTCCAACAAGAAATATTCAAGGCTGCAAAGCCGCTGCTAAAGCCTCTCCCCAATGAGGTGCTGGAAAGTGCGGGTCATCTTCCCAAGGCCTTGAGATTCGACAGCCGCACTTTAGGAAGTCCGCTCTCGACATCATGCGAGTCCATATCTCTATACTTCAAGAACCCTAAAGTTTACGCTTCTTACTCTATTCCAACATGACATTTGCGGTCTACAGCGGATCGGATTAGCACGTCCATTTTACGTGGCAGGTACAGCACGGTCAGATTTCCACACCCGTTTAAATTTATAATACTTATAAGGCTTTCAGGTGTGGAAATCTGACCGCAACTTAGGTGTCGACATGTTGCACGTAGGATTCTAAGGGGAAAGGGTTTGTGATGTTTAAGAAGTCAAGAAGCGCAACTTTTGGCACCCCAGTGTATACATCGAAATGTCTGACCAATGTCAGGATGCCTGCATCTGAGAACACGCAAACACACTCTGGCGTCTCGAAGCTCTCTTGATTGCCTTGGTCATTGCCAAAATTTCACACCGAACAAGCAAGGAATCAAGAAGTTCGTATACAATAAGCAGGTCAGTCCAGCAAGTCCAACTATTCGAGTCTTGTTTCAACAAGTTCGGACTCTGCTGGCTTCCAAGAATCAACTGCAAAGAAATGTGTGGATCACTGTTCATCCGCTTGGAGTTCTTCGCTTGGGGTAGCTGAGGACCCAACCCAAGGCCCAGCTGAAATGGGTGTTGCTGAGTCCTCAATGACTCAATGAAACCAAACCAAAAACAAAACCTAGTTGAGGTAATCTGCCTGGCTTGCATCAGCACCACTTAGACTCTTAAGCATCGTTGACATAATATTCTGTTATGATGTTGGCAAGTCGTCTTTTTGACGAAGAACGGTTAGGCAGTGGCCAACATTGACCCGCACACATCCGGTTTGGCTCTGCTCGACCTGATGGCGTCAAACAACGAAGACCTTCTGTAAGCTTCTGTTAGCGTCTTGTGACATCGCGAGAAGACTTGTGCATGTCATTTGCAAAATGGCAGACAGTGTAAGAATCAGAGTGCAGAACACATGGCTTTCTTGGAAGTGCCTCCATGAGCCAGTTGCCCGAGTAAAGCAAACAAAAACCAAAGCACTGCCTGAGAGGCGAGCACACTGTCGAACATCCAGGATTCAATTTCTGCGGGTCGCAATAGCTTAGCAGAACTTCTGCGTGCTTTGCTGCAAAGGCTGAAAGCGGAATATCTCGACATCATGAGAGGGTCTGTGGTCCAAAAAGAAGATGAAGAAGCATGGAAGAACACAAGGGACGTTAAATGTTGAAATATCAAAGAACATTAAAACACAAGTCTCCGGCCCGTGGTCTTCGGCTGGAGGACCTGATGACAGCACCTTACAAGTCAAGCTCAGACTGTCGGTGTCTAAGTCGTATCCCAATCAAGGGAGCTTTCAAAGCCCATCTAGAAACACAGGAGGAACTTCCAAACAATAGAACCCACCTGCTTTTGTCTTTGCTTTTACGTCATGATGCTAGGTTTCCAGGGTCTGAGGCTGATACGCAAAAAGGATTCATCTGGTGTGATGAGACTCCACGATTGCTGCCCAAATGGATCATGCCCTCTTGTATCCTGACAACTCAGGCAATCAAATACAGGACATGACATGACAATTTCCTGCAAAAAGGATACAAAAAATGTTGCAACATTGTAGGTAAAGGTTTCAACCAGCCCACCAGAATCTTATTACTGTAGTTGAGAAATGCAGCAGCGAACCAAAGGCTTCAAGTCCATCGTAGAACAGCGTTGCCTCCGAGTGTTGATGTGCCGTTCATTTGCCCAGCCGCCATGCAAGGAGAGCAAGTGCCAATCATCTGTGCTGAAATCAAAAGTGGCCGACCTGGTCAAATGGATCGGAAGGTCCCAAGATGCCCGAACCTTTGACATTTGCGCACTTTATTGAGCAAGCCCAAACCTTGAGGTATTTTGGCATCATCTCCACGAAACTAGGAGCCCAGCATGCACTTCATCAGATCAACACCGCCCAATCCAACTTTGGAACTGTTCTTCACCACCTTGGTTTCAGTGTTTGACCTCCTCCTCCTCCTCCTCCTCTTCTTCGTCTTCTTCTTCCTCCTCCTCCTCGTCTTCTTCGTCTTCTTCTTCTTCCTCCTCCTCCTCGTCTTCTTCTTCGTCTTCTTCTTATTATTATTCTTCCTCTTCAAGTTTGCAAATTGTGACGTTCCGTTCGAGCTTCGTGCATGACTCATGGTTCGATGATCTGGCGTGAACTGTCCTGTCTGAATAAACTCTCTCTCCAACTAGCAGGAAGAAAAGGTTCTGCATATCCTGGGGTCGGAGGCTGTTCTCAAAGCTTGTTGCCTCTACATTACATCACAGCGCTTGATTTCTGGTACATTCTGAGCTGAAACCTTCTGAGTTTTGCCACCATCCGCCGGCTCACAGCTGAAATTGATGGAAAAACCGTGTAGACCAGCTGGACCTCAACACTGTGGAAACTTGCCATCTGGAGTCAGAATCTACTGCCTTCATAGAAGCAAAGTGGAATCCAGCCTGCACTTCAGTGTATGTGTCCACCATGTCCTGGGTCAAGAAGTTGCGAGATCTAAAACCAACTCCAACTCCAACTCCACACCTTACCGAACGAACAGCTGAGGCACCGGGCGACCACCAAGCTTTGTGCTCCCTGCAGTTCAAAAGAACGTCTCAATGCGTCTCAATTTAGAGGTTTAGTTCGTCTCGTTTGGGACGAATTCCACAATGAAAAAAGAAAAACAGTGAGCACAATGTGCTTTTTATTCAGGGGAACAACGGACCAAGGCCTGAGAGTTGTGTCTGCCCAAGAATGGCAGTCCAGAAGTCGAGGGCAAAATGCCATCGATGACCCTGGCGTCCAAACAGTTCATGTCTCCATCTCTGCACATTCAGGTCCAACAAAAGGAAGGCAACAAAAGGTTTTCAGGGGTCCTTGGGCATGTCTGCAAAACATGCTTGTTAGAATGCAGCAGGACACTCAGTACAACAGACTGGAAATGCGTGATGGCTGGGTGAGCTCTGCAAAGGGCATTCGTGAGTGCTCTGGCGACTCCAGGCCTGTGGTGTTTGTACCTTGGTTGTTGGAGTCCAAGCATTCCTGCATCCACCTGTTTTCTAGATTCGTTGATGTTTTAGACTGGATGATTGAATAGTTTCAGGACGCCCTGCAAGCGTCCCAAATTGCTGAGATGTGCTCAGGTTCAAAACACACCGTCATTCAGTCAAGACCTATTTTAAGAATGTGAGGTGCATGTCATGAGGGCAAATGTTTTGTTGCGCAAATTTCATCGACCTGCAAAAGACCTCTTTAGAGGTCAGCACCGGTTAGAGGACACCTCTCAAACATTAAGAGCACGGCACTAGGGGTAGAAGGCGAGATCCGTCCTGCCAACGAGGGATCCACTTCACTGCCCCACCCTCAAATGCCAGACCACTCAGAAATGCTTTGACGCTCAGACTCCTTGCGGAAGCAAACGTCCATGCTAGGTGTGCCTCAATCGCGGTCCCAAATTGCTCTCATCATCTCTTATCTACAATTCCAGAAAGGAGCAGTAAGATTGGCTGCGAATGGAAGGACAAGGTGTCCCCATGCATTCAAGAGTCTTAAGATCTCAAAACCCCAGGGTTGCGTCAACGGGAACCTGTACAATGAACTTTCTGATACTTCAAAGATCCTGGCGGAAGTCGCCAGTGCCAAACTCTGAGACCTGCAAGCGTGTGAATTGCTGCAAAACCATAACCTACATAAAACTCATCCCTTGTTAATGCTTGTGTAAATAATAGTGGGAATTATGGTGACTCAAATCAAAAAAGCCTGCTTGGGTGACATCATGATCCAGCTCGTCAGACAGCACACGGGCACTTTTCAGCTCATCAGCAGCGTCAAACGCCACACGCACATCAAACAAGAGGAGGACCTGCAATGATAAAGGGCAATAGTATATCGAAGGGCTTCAAACGTTTCACGCTCCAAGGAATCCACAAAAACGAACAAGAAAAGAGATATAGACGAAATGAGGAGATAGCGAAAACAGATTGCAGTGCAGGCAATGCTTGTTCAGCATCACCACAAGAAGCCACCTTGCGTGCTGAAGCCATATCACTGAGCCTCAGGAAATTGCTACTCGACCACAGCATCACCAGCTTCTTCTATGACTTATGAAAGGAAGTGGAAATCTGTTGGAACAACAAGAAAAGACCATCAAGCACACAAACAAGCGATTGTTTCCGCAAAACACAAGGCCTACTTACTACGCGTGGAAGTCATTCTCTCCTATTACATTACTAATACTTTATTAGTAATACTTACTTCATCTTATTTCTACACCCTGTTTCGATGGTCTTTAGTGAGAAGAGCCCTTTTGCTAGCGGTGACACGTGAGACGATGTGAGACGTCTTCCCAGCTTCCGACGAACTCGACAACTGGTCCGGTGCTGGCTGAATTCCAGGCAATGGTTCGTGAGACTCAATCAATCGGTGGTTAAGCCTCTGCGAATTGAAACAATGTTCCATGAGTCCAAGCCAATTTGTGAAAAGGGCAGGGACTAAGGTATATATCCGTCCAACTGCTACTTTGGTTCGCAGAAGCAACTGCACACTTTGAATTTGGACAAAGAACAATGACACGGTTGAATCTACTTGGCCAAGTCCAACCTGAAGGCAGAGCGTGCACTTAAATACTGAAATAGATCACGTTCCCATACGTTCCCTGTTTATAAGGAAGTTGGCCAAGCCCCGTTCGCATCAGCAATTGGACAACAACTTCACCTGAGGCGGACATGTGCAATTTCTCAGCGACAAGACTCGAGTACACCGCAATTACACCCGAGCCTCAAATTTGGGAGGCCAAGAAAAGAAACTGTCAGATTGATCTTGGAGCATACCCTGGGAAACTGGAACAAACACTAGAAAGATCCATCTAGCACCGCAAGAAGTCTAAACACATTCAAGCCGCACTATGAACAAACTGGCAAGGTTGTCCAGGTCATTCAGGCTTACTGATCTTCCTGAGATCTCGATCGCTCTCATCCAACCCAAGAACGACTGCTTCAAAGTTCCAGATTGCAAAAAGCGTGCATTTAGAATCTCGATAAGATTTTGATGTTACTTCTCGCTGCCAGTTCTAGACTCTAGCCTCATCAGCAAAAGCTTCTGTACAAACAATTTAATGTCAACTGAAGCCCTAAACTTCGCTGCAAACCAAAGGTCAATGATCTTTCGCACGAACTCCCCGTACTCACACTCACCACCTGTCGCAAACATATGGATGAGATCAAGCTAACAATCAAACCTGCAGCATCAAGTGATAACTTTCCAACAGGTGAACATTCTGTGTATACAACAGCGGAATAATGCCAGTGAATCATTGGATTGAGGGACAAAAAAGGCCTCCCGACTAGTTGCTCAGTGCAGTCACGCCACTACCATCATCGTCAGCTGCTTGGATCATCTCTTCCGCCCTGAAAGCCCACAACGTTAAGAGAGAAAGATTCCTTTGGGATGAAAGGGCTGTTCCAGTCGGTCAATGGGACAACTTGTAGTGGGCCAATCGTGGATGTTGCTCCACCAGGACACACATTTGTCAGCCTGCTTTCAGCTTGGTATTGTGAAAGGAACACAATGAAGAGCCCTGAGGTCTCTGTCTCTGTCCTCATGCTTAAGGGCAACAAAAAAGAACAAGTGTCCAGTCTCCTTTCGATCCCTTTTCCGAACAACAATTCTGTAGGCAGAACTGCTCTGCCGTGAGCACAAATCTGGACTGAGGAACTGGAGCGGATTCACATTGAAGCCAAGCTTGCAGAGAACATCTTGGAGTTCAATGGCATCGATGGTGCCACTCTTGTCCTTGACCACAGCCGTGCGGCAGCTCTCTTGATTGGACTTACCCTCTTCTTTTGTGTTAGAATCAAGCAACAAGGGGCTGTCCTTGTCAAAGATCTTGAAGGCATTAACCAATTCATCCTCTGTAATCATGGAGCGATCAAACCTGCCGAGTCAACGAGCACTCAAGCAAAGCATGACATGCAGACTAGGAAGCTTTCGATCGCAAACAATTCCGATACCCCCCTTCTACTAGTAATAGTAGATATCCCGGACAAGTGCACATCGAGTATCATAATCCTACCCTTCCCATCTTGCAAATTTTGTCAAGGTGTCGGTGTCAAGGTGATTCATCATGCTGCAGAGCTACTGGGCAGTCACCCTGCCAGATTAGTGGGAGGCCTATGATAGTTTTTGATGGGAAAGACCAGAAACACCATCATCTGGGACGTGGCAGTTGGCATTGCTGAAAGTAAAAGCTTTGAGTCAAGGAACTTCGCCATCAGCTTCACGAAGCCTTGGCTCTTTCTCATCAAGATACACGTATGACGCATAAATCAAAGTCGATAAAGTTGCGCCAAGTTTCGCTGAAAGTCCATGACGCCCTTGCCATGACTGTCGATGTCATTCATGATCTGAGCGAGGGCTTGTCAAGACTGAAGACTGCTCCAGGGTTTTCTCGCAAGCGACTAGCGACCCTGGCGACCCTTTATTTGCAGTCCAGTGTCCGTCAAGAACCTTGCAGGAAAAAAGCATCAAAACTACAAGTACAAAAAACACATGCCTTTCCCTTCAATCTTATGAGTTGCTGGACTCAAGCAATGTAGTTTCCAAAGTTGCAACCCTTCTGAGCGGTGCTTCTTGTGACATGTACAAAACAAACTTGGAGTCAGAAGTCAGATTAAGTAAATTGTTACCGAGCCACGCTTTGTCTGATGGCTCCTCACCCAACCAGCTGAGTGCTAATCTGACTTGGCTGGCATCAATCACACCATCCTCAGCTCAAAGTATAAAACCCAACTTGCTCAAACATTGGCGATGTCAATGTCTGAAAATGAATCGATGCTGAATCGATGCTGAAAATCTAGAGACAAATCACCTCCAGCCAAAACTGTTTGGGTGCACGTCTCTGCTCTCATCAATGCACTCCGATGAGCTTCAGTTTCCGGTGTTGACGTTTTTGCAAGAATGCGTTTTGATTGAGGACGCTCTTTATATGTCTGATGAATGAATTAGAATCGACTCCAGTTCTCTGGTTTTTCCACCAAGTGTCACCGAGCACATCATAGAGGCGAAATGCCCAGCAAAAGTCGACTAGCTCTGAGTCTCGGAAGCCACACCTTCCAAAAAATCTCAGAGACGAAGTCGAAGAATCTGCGATTGTGAACTCTCTCGAGTCAAAAGATTGAAACATTGAAAACTTTTGAAAACTCCTCAGGACTGACCAAGAAGCTTTGAATTTCACATGCTTTCTGGTGACGCGTCGTGCACTTGAAGCAAATCGACAGGCAAACAGAACTTTCAGCTAAAGGTTTGATGTCAAAAGTTCCTTGCCAAGGAGCTTGTCAGTGAGGATGTATGTTTCAGGAATGCCATCAATGCGGATCCGGGGATCACCTAGGGCGAAGTGATCAAGGACGCTACTAGTAACAAAGGGCATCACTACTAGGAGCAAGGACACTACTAGTAGCTCCTGGCCTTACTACTAGTAACAAGAAGCTACTAGGAACAAGGGCATCGCTACTAGTAACGAGGGCATTACTACTAGTAGCATTCTTGCTACTAGTAACAAGAAGCGCACATCAGATCCTCTCAACTCCCTGTAAGTTGCTCCCTGTCAGTTCAGCGTTGGATGCCAAGCTCCCGGCCGCCGGACATGACCAACACAGGGTGTTGGGGTGTGCTTGTGCCCAAAATGGCTTCGTTGCAAGTATGTGTAAAAGGGGAAGTGGCCAAAACCCAAGTTCATCCCCACTTAGCCAAAATGAAGCCCACAGGCCTACGGGTGGAAGGTCTAGGTGTTTCTGCAAGTCCAAATCGTTTCTCTGTGAATACTATCTATAAGAAGATCAGATTAGATCTGTTTTTGCTCCTGAACCCTTACGACTTTGAGTTTGGGGCTATTACACATTCCGATATTATTGCCTCAGATTGCTGAACATATTAATGCATCATACCCCAAGAAAGAATGTTGCGAACATGAATATTCCATCGTTTGGGGCAAATCTGGATGGTTGAGAGTGAGAGCCAACTGAGTAGGCTTTGTTGGAAAACATACTGTAAAGAAAACTATAGTAGTTCTCAGAACCAAAAGAACCAAAAGCGCCCCTTTGCATTAAACCACCTGACTGTGCTGAGACTACAAGCTCTCACAAGTTCTTCTCCCCATCTGCATGAGCAAGGAACCCACTGAGATGGCCAGAAAACCAGGACATATCTCCACGTGCAAGGTACATACTTCTAAGACAAAACCGAGAAACACAATAGCAGCCCATAGCTCAAGTTACTGCTCCATAGGTTGCTCACACGAGAATTCTTTCATCAGCTGCATGATCTCCAATTGCACTGGGACTCCTTACTTGATCTTTCAAGTGTATCACAACCTATGCAACCCAACACAAAGGCTGGTTCCCTCTGCTTGGAACGTCTTTCCGCTATGATGAACTGTCTCTGAGCAAACAGGACGGGCAAAATCACTTTCTAAACATGGCTGCTTTCCTGAAAGGAGCACTACATAGACATACATTGCACCTGCAATTCTGGAAGCATGCCTTGGTACAGTTCAATCATATCGCGGCGTGGCTTCTTCAGTCACCGCTGAGCTGCAAGTTAGCCTTAGGGTCTTCTTATATCTGTCACAAATCCATCGGCACATCCTTACTTCTCCAGCCTCCAAAAGTTGTGAGCCTTTCAATCCTTGTCGACCTCCAACAGATTGCAGTCCTGAGAAAGGGCTCAAGGCACTGCGCAAAGTCATGTCGTCAAAAGAAATTACAGTAGAAACGATGACAAATATTCAGTAGATGCTGCAGTTGCTTCCGGGACTTCAAGCACTACTCCGGCAATTCTGTGCGCGACACCTTCAGGTGCTCGCATTTCCTCAGGCGCCTTCTTCAACGGCACGGAGGACCTTGTCAAAACAAAAAGTATATCCAACAGAGAATATCTTTGCAGGCCAGGAGCGGTTCAGAACAAAAGAACTATATTTATATGAATATGAAACAGCTTTCACCTTGCATTCTTTGCAAGCTTTAATCACCTTCCAATGGAAATGAGTAGTTCCTTTTCTGGGAGGGTTCCTGATTCCTCACCTTCGAAATATAGTTCCTTTTTTCATTGGAACTATGTTTGACCTTTTTTGTGCGAGTGTTCATCACCTTCATATAGTTATTTTGCGTTTGAAACCTTGCACTTTAAATTCTGTGAGTGTTCGTCACCTTGCAAGATATAGACTATTTTTTGGAACTATGGATTTTCTGCAAGTGTTCATGACTGTCACCAAATTTAGTTCCTTTTCATTTGAAACTATACTTTTCACCTTGCATGTTTGACGTTTGGAAACATACGGCTTTAGTTGCATTGTTTGCGGATGTTCTTAGAATCGTTTTTGTACTATATGTACTTTTTCCGCTGAATTTTGTGGAGGCTTCTGACACAGGCAACCTGTAAGGTTCCACTGTTGCGCTGAGTCTTCTATGCTTGTTATGACTTTGTCATGGCTTCCTCTGAGTGTGTTGGAGATTGCATTGAGCTGATCCGAGTGGGAGCTCATGAAATCTCATGGATGAGGAATCACCTGCTTGCATAAAACTTAGCACAAATACCCTCAGAATATAAGTCTTTTTCTGCTGAGGTTCTCACACAAAACCATACACGTATGAAATTTAGCAAATGAGTTTGCCTGATTGGACTGCATATCTGAAGGTCAAGAGAAGTTCCAATGTCGCGCACCTGAGGAAATGTGACATTTTGTTTACTTCCAAAAACATGAATCCCATAAACGAGCAGCTTCTCGAGGAATTGAAGCAACCTTTGTGCTGCACCTATGTTCTTCGCCTCCTGTCCGGATGAGTCTTCGGAAAGGGCCATCAGAGAGATTGCATACGACTAGCCACTGGCTCAACATGTTCAGAACAAAAGAACCGTCAATTGCCAAACTGTCCTTCACTTGTCCTCTATATATACATTGTGATCGTCTTAGGGCTCCGAAAAGGTCTGATGGGCGAGGCCTAAAGCAACTCATCACTACTGTAAAGAAAACTCCTACGTAGTGAATCTTGGAATGTTGAGAAAACAAGAAAAACTCAAGATCCCCGATGAAGGAACAGCCGAACCAAAAACCGCAATGTCAACCCAACAATGTATACATATATACATGTATATATATATGTACATATGGCTCAAGCCATTTCAGCATCAAGTTTGGTGGCTGACGCCATCAAACAGAGCATGAGGGAACGGTCACCACGATCCGCACAGGCTTGATCGTGACAGAGGACACAATCCATGAGTGGCCAATATCTATGCTGTGGGCATTGTGGAGGGATCAGTTGGATTGTGGAGAGAGGTGGCAACCAGAAGTCGTACGGGACTTGAAGCATAGATCACCACTGGAGTGGGCCCCATGGAAGTATGATGGCAAGGGTGCTCAATGGCCTAAGAGGTTTTACAAGCAGGTGCTTTTTGAACATCCACCAGGCCTTGCAGGTGGAGCTCAAGGTTCGAAGAAGAAGAAGAAAAACAAAAACAAGCAGACTCCAGCCTGGCATCAGGCCTTGAAGGACCACTGGAAGGATCTGCCAGCGGCTCTACAGCAGCAGGCTCAAGCATTGGGACTGGCTCCAGAGGAGCCACCAGCCCCGGATCTTCCAGCCATCCTGCAGGAGCATTTGCAAAGCCTGCCGCCAGAGGTTAAGCAGGCAGAGCTCGGTTGGTTTGCCGAAGCAGCTTTCTGCCAAGAAGAGCTCCCTGCAGGCCAAAGTAGATGTTGTGAAACAACAGTATGGTTAGGCATGTCCAAACTCACCTCTGAACACGTTCCACCACTACAAGGGCGGCACTTGTGGATAGCGCCCTTGGAACATACCCAGGATCATGGAAAACAACATAGTCAAAAGACAAAACTTGGATGAACACATACATGAGAGGTGCAAACACAAAACATGTTAAACAAAAACCTTTATATGATATAAAAAAACAAGAAATGCTATCATTTTTGAGGGAAGAAACAACATCATCTTGTATGAACAAAACATATGTTGTGAGTGCTTTGCCATGTTTGATGTCAACCAAAAAATGATGTCACACAACAACTTTGAAGTAGCAAAAACATAGTCAAATGGTTCATTCCTTGTGGTTTTCTGAGCCTTGTTTTGGATGATCCTTTCCTTATCGAAAAACCATATGAGTAAACATAAGAAACTCACTAAGAAACGTTCACACCGTAAGCAAGAAGTGTACATCATGTCAAGCAGAAAGCATTGGACGAATCAGTGTCAGCTCAGCTCATTGAAATGCAGAGTTCTTTGAAATATTAAACATGTGTCATTAAAGAAATCGACTGATCACCACGATTTGCATCAGTTTTTTTCTTCTTGCATTAGGAGAGCAACCGCTCTTCACTCCAGGTTTGTGTTGAGATGCACTCAATCCAGCAATCGCCGCGTCTTCTGGCAGAGCGATGATGGCTCACATACGCAGTATACATGCTTTTGGTAGGGCATTGTAAGGCAATAATCTACAACCCAAGAAAATCACTTTGCACTAGATGGACTATGGCTATGATGGCAGGGGTTGATGCATAGAACATTTGCCCAAGAAATACCGCTGCCCTCTGTTGGTATCTGACAAGCACACAATCTTAGGATTGAGCATAGATTGTAGGAACACGTTCATGTTTGGTTCCATGATTGGTACCAAGAATTTGATTAAAACATGATGTTTTGCACATGTGTCACATGCTGACACCGATGAACGAAAGAGTGGCTCCACCTGACTCTACCCTAAAACATATGCACACAATTATGTGCTTACTTCACCAGCCTTCATCGCTTCCTGCAATATGGGAGATTTGTCCCACATCCTGAAGCTTACGTCTCGAGCACGCCTGTGCAAGACTGCTGCTGGCTGCGCAGGGGATGATCTTGTACTATCAGATTCAGAGTCTCTTGACTAAGCGAAAGTATGGAGCAACCAATAAGGTCCATGTGTTCTTGTCTAATCTGTTTAGAATCCAGTGTCCAGTGTCCAGCTATATTGATAAAGATGTCATGCACCTATTTCCCTGATCAGCCAGACAATGCCGCAATGCCAGACAATCAAACAAACTGTTCTTCCACAGAAGGCTGTGGTTCCATGACCAATGACTGGATGACCAACCTTTAGTCTTAGCAGGTATATCTACGGCCCAGAAAGCATTGAACCATTGAATGATTACTTAAACTATCTGCTGTAGCCATCTCTCTAGTCTCTCTAGCGACACAGCAATAAAAACATACTGGGCTGGTGATTTGTCAGTGGCTTGTTATTATTGCCAACACCACGTGCATCAGATACTCACTCACAGGACGTCAGCGCATCGTCTCACATCCATTCACATCCAGTCCTGGAGTCATCGGGAAAATTAAGACATGCACGGATGAAACCAGGTTGTTGTTCCGGTTGCTTTCGAGCTGAGGAAACTTCAAAGGTCATTGGTTATTTTTCTTTCTAATCTACATCACTCTACCTCCACCTCACTACATCTACATTGTTCTACGTTGCAGGTTCCCATCAGTTGCATACAGTGTGCATTACACGGCAAACGTTCAGCCATTTCAGCCAGCTAAGTGAATCAGAGACTAGCTAAAAACAAGCTCAACTTCCTTTACGCCACGCCTCAAACTGCTGCATAGGCTGTCGAGCTTCTTCACCACGTTCACCTCGACGACATTGCCCTCACAAACAACGGCGAAGCGGCATGGGCGCTCATATATGTCTCAGTTGACAAGCTCGGACACGCATGTTGCTTAGCAGCCTGGGGGCAGTGTGTTTGGAATGAAAAGAGTCATAACTAACAGTCAGCAAACAGAGTGACAAGTGAACCATTTCTTTTGAATAGCCTATAGCATATGGCCAATGACATCTAGGTTTGTGAAATTGCTTTCGAAACGGTTTCAGGGTAGATGAATGCCCACATAATCAGTTGAGAATCTAAGAGTGTGTAAAACGTTTGTTGCAGAACTGTCCACAGGCCACAGGGTAATTGTGGCTGTGGCTTAAATAATGCTGCATTTTCAGCACTTAGAAACACAAGCCTATGAAGTTTATTGTTTTCTTTTGTCATTCTTAGCTTCTTAGCATCCCAGTGTCCCAGTGTGTGTGTGAACCATGCAATCCAATGAACCTACAAGACACGCAATGCGCCTTCAAACATTAGGAACACTATGCAGTGCGCACTACCGCTGGGATCATGTATTCTATCCGCATTCTTGAGCTCTGGATGCCACACGTGAGTCAGGCTTCATGGCATTCATTGATAAGCAGAGAATGTCAACGAAGACACAGCTTGAAGGAGGTACCGCTCCAACTCAAGGACGCAAGCGCTGTGACCGCTGCTGTGAGTGTTTCCACAGAATCTTCAAGAACAGATTCGTTATCCATGGGTGATGTCTATCAGCACCAGCAGTCTTGGGAGTCCACTCCAACCTCACACGATACACACAGCCAGATTGTTGCTGTGGAGGATAACAACAGCCAGGGAGAAACACCTACTTATGTGAGCGCTAGGTCAACACGTGTCAGCTGGAAAGGAATGAACTCCGCTCAGGATGCATTGGAGTCATGCCACAGAAGTTTTCTTGCAAAGCGGGTTTGTGAACTGCAAGAAAGAGTTGATGCGTACCAGAAAGAACTCAAGAAAGCTCGCAGGGAAAACAAAACATTGCACGCACGGATGGAACAGGCTTTGCAGCGAGCAGGCTCTACTGGCAAATGGGACATTGTGCGAACAGACGCAGACTATTCATGTCTTGAAATGTCTACATTTAAAAACAGTGTCCGTTTGTCACGTCGCGGATTTGTCGCTCTTGGTGTGCGGAAGGCGCTTGCTTGGTCATCGTCAGTCGCCTTTCCGCTTCTCACACTGGTTGATACATCCCGCCAAACAGTGACAAGAGCGGAGAATGCTGTGTGGGCTATGATTGTATCTCGATCGGGTGCATGGCACAAGTGTGTTTACGATGCATTGAAGCAAGTTGCCAATTGGATGCAATGTAGCGCACCTCAATTCCAATGCACACCTGATCACGCTGATCACGCTGATTCATTGGCAATGGTTTCTTCTGATCTCGGGTTGCCACAGCCATCAAGCTGGTTGGTGCACCCTTGGGCTTTGTGCAGTCAACCAGATGACCAGTCAGGTCAGCAGAGTCTCTTCTCTTTGGGAGGCACAGCTTTATCAGGTGATGCCACAAATTCTGGGATCTGGCGGCGCAACAAACTACAATCACTGTTGGTGACTTCAGCTATCATGTCAGATCCAAAGCATGTCAGAAGAACTTCTGCATGGCACGATGGGTTCTCGCATCACACGACAGTGTGTCTTGCATTGAATGTTAACTATTCATAACCTTTTTGACCTTTTTGTGTCTCCTGTAATGGTGGATGATGTAGGCAGATGCACACTACTGCACCAATGCACCAACACGTAGAATAGAATCCCACACATTCTATTATGATTCTGATCATTACTGATGTTCATTTAAAAGAGGCATGGCTGAACGATGTCTTTGCAGCCTAGTAGAAATAGATAAATCAAATTCGGTCACCAAACATCACTGGACTGAACAACTGGAGGTGTGACCTGCAAATAGTAGCAGAGGGAACTGCCGCTGGCAATTTGGCCATCATATTGAAACAGCTCAAGCTGATCAAGTGCCTCAACTGGGAGGAGATTTTGGCCAACAAAAAGCGACCAGGCATAATCATGTCAGTTGTTTTTCTTTTGTTTTGTGTTGTTTTTTGTTTTGGGTGTGGATAAGTGGATAAGCTTATAACTGATAAGCTAGTGGTTGGTGATTAGTGATTGGGTAATCAGTATCAGCATATTAATTGTCAGTGTTTTCTTGCTGGAGTGAATAGTCGGGGCGGGGTCTGTGAGATGCAGTTCTGGTTTACTCATTACTCTAGTAAGACTCTAGTAAGATGCAACTGGTTTGTAACTAACTATGAGTCACTATGACTATGAGCC